TGACTGCATCAATTTTCAGTGAAACAGGAGGCAAAATCTAACTAGGATGAGGAAAGATGGAGAAGATCTGAGGAGAGAGAATATGTGAAGTAGTAGTCTCAGAGAGAGAAGATACATCATGTAAGTAAATCTGGCAGGATTTCTGGGTAAGGCAGAGGACCAGAGATGGCCACAGACTGCAGACTGGGAGGTAGACTATAGCATGGTAGAATGTTTTCTAGTCATATCCATTGTTTGGGTATAGGCATGGCACAGATACAGTAGTCAGTCTAATGAGCACTGTGATTCTTCCAGTCAAGTACAAAAGCAATGATGTCATCATTAATTGCAATAAAAGTGAGATCTGGAACCTTAGAGCTCATTGTACAGAATCAACATCACCTCCAATCAGAATCTGCATCTTAACAAGACCTTTGGATGATCCACGTCCACTTTGAGGTCTGAGAAATACCTGAGTGGAAGCCAAGTAAGAAAAGGAAAACATTAAAAGACAAGGTTAAAGAAATGAGAGGCCAGTCTTTGAAAGAGTCCTCTATGTGGATTTCACAGCCACCAAGGTTAACGACAAGAGAAATAATGGGGTCAAAGGAAGAGAAGAAGTGAGATTATGGGAAATTGTACAGATAACAATAAATGAATGGCCTGAAAGTCTTGAGGTCCTGGTGGCAAGTATGAAGAACGATGGAGTAGCTGGGCATAGTAGCATGTGCCTATAATCCCAGCTACTTGAGGACTGAGGCAGGAGGATCAGTGGAGCCCTGGGGGGTCTTAGCCATTCTGGGTAAGACTCAGTCAAGGGTGTGGGAGGAAGACATAAGAAGAAAAAAAGAAGAAAAGCAAGAACGATGGGATTTAGACTGGTAATCTTTTAAGGAAAGGAAATGGTTGTGGTTGTAGTCTCATTTTCAGGTTTGATCTCTTAGGCAATTTGTCCTGATCAAGGGAACAATATTGTAACAGAAGGAGCTGTGGTTGTACCAGATCACATGAAACTGTGGGCTCCCTGAAGTACTGCTGCATATAGGGTGACTGGGGAGAGAAACAGTCTCATCAGGAATATAGAGCTTGGTGGGTTTCTATAGGACCCACACACTGACGTGCACCTTGGGAAGGGGTTCTCTTTAAACAAAAAAACTAACTCCTTAGGAAGAAGGATTGGAAGATACTATCCAAAGATTCACATTTGCAGTAGATAACATAACAACTTCATAAGACTGGAGGAGTTTGTTTTTCTTGAAAAGAAGACAAAAGATGTCAGAGGCAGAGAGAAGAACAGAAGATAGGGAGATTCTCATGCTATTCAAGGCAGTGAAACTCACTGATAGAAGCTGATTAGAAAGGTGAGTTCTGGCCAGGCATGTTGGTGCACACCTGTAATCTGAGCACTTGGGAGACTGAAGCAGGAGGGTCACTGCAAGTCAAGGCCCACCTGAACTACATAGTGAGACCTTATCTAAAAAAACAAAACAAAACAAACAAACAAACAAAGAAAGGTGAGTTCTTCTGTTATATCTAAGATCAGGTAAGAATTTTAATTTTATTTATAATAAGAAACCAAATTGTGTGTCTTTCTTCAGTGTAGTCTCCTGTCCTACAAGTGCATTTGTAAAGGAACCCATGATATTAAAGGGAGTCAGAGGTCCGTGTGAGTAACAAGCAAATATAGGCTCCTAAGAAGATGAAAATTTTGGAGAAAGAGTTTTGAAATTAAGAGGATTACCATGTGGCCACCTATCTAAAGGGTAGTAGCCTCACTGAAAACAATGTTACACGGTAAAACATATTTTTTATAAAGACCAGCTAACTGCTTTGTCCATACATACCTCTTCCATTTCAAAAACCCTCCTGTCTTTATAAGTACAGTTGTTTAAAGGTCAATGCAATAAAAATATTAACATGATCATTATGCAATAATTAGCACCTCAGGCTAAGTGTTTCTTGAAGGCAAGGTCCAACAGTAATGGGAACGGGAGGTATATTGAAATGGGGCATGGTGGCACAGGCCAAGGATCCTAGTGCCGTGGGAGGCTAAAGCAGGAGGATTGAAAGTTTGATCCTCATTGTGGCAAATCAGAAATGTAGAAAAACTCTGACTCAAAATAAAATAAAAAGGCTGGGGATTTAACTCAATTTGAAGGTCCTGGTTTCAATCTTAGTACTGGACCCCCCAAAAAATTGAAACTCAAACCTTTGAAAAATCTTAATTCTCTTAAAAGCATTAACCAATACATTAAACAGTAAAACAGTGAAATTATTATCTCAATCACGTCTATTTTTGTTTAATTTTCTCATTTTTCAAAAGTTGAGAAAAAAGATGTATCAATGGGTAATCAATCTGAGAAGTTAAGAATTCTGTTTAAAAACTAACACGCAAAGCAAGGATCACTACTTTCAGAAATTTACATTCCATGTATTTAAGGTCTATGATCTTTCAGACAGGGTTGAACAACGGCTAAAGAAAGTAAGCAGGGCACCTTAACTAAACTCCTGAGACCACCAGGGTCTTGCAGTATAGACACCCAGCTCAAAACTTGGACAACTCAAACTAGATGCAAAGCTGTAATTATTACAGAAAACTGAATTATAATTATCTTGGCATTCAGCCATGAAAATATTTCCCAAATCTACTTAAAAATTGAAAACAGACCAGGATTTCTAAGCATATCTAGGACTAATCTTGCTGTTAGCTAGTTTCCTTCAATCTAAATTTGCATTTATTCCTTAATCACAGTACTGAACTAGTTCTCTAACAAGAGGAAACAAATTATTTGGGGGCTCTTGAGGAAAGACTCTAGTATATCTCTTCTTACAGCTAATAAAGCTGCAATCAGCTAGAATCAAATAACCACAGTATACATTTAATATGACTGAGATGATTCAACCAAAAAAAGCACATTTCTAACTTTATGGGGTGGGGGGGAGACATACAGAGAGAGGCCCAGACCTTTTACCTTCTAAAATAGAAGTCAAGATTTTGAATCTCTGATTCTGAATTTATACCTACCTCATGGTGCATAAATTGAGAATATCTCTAAGATGCCAGAATTTTAAGTGCAAGTGTTCGGGAGGAATAACACAAGCCTATAGAAAGCTTTTTTAAAAATGTGTGTGTGCACACGCACGTGCTTGCATGCGTGCGTGCATATGTGTGGTTTTGGGGAGATCTTACTATGAAGTTCAGGCTCTTCTTGAACTCACTATGTAGCCCAGGCTGGCAGCAAACTCACAGTGATCCTTCTGCCTCAGTCTCCCAAGTTCTGGGATTAAAGGCAAGCACCACCACGCCTGGTTTAAAAAGGTACAGTATTTTTAAATAAACAAAAAAATTATAAACTTTATGTTTGAAGGTAGTGAATACCTGCCTTTGTGATATGACTTAGAATTAAAGTCTTCCAACTCAGAAATGTTTTCTCCATATATATCAAAGACTGATGCTCTAATTTCCCTTATATGGAATGAAGTCACAGAGACTTCAACATTGCCCTTTGTTAAAATGCCCTTTAAAAGGATTTTCATTATCCATGCTGAGTATAAAGTATTTAATGAGACCCTAAGCTAAGAGCAAGTTAGATGAAAAGCATGTAGAAATGAAGTTAAGAAAGGAACTGAAACCAGAAACCAACAACACTCTCTTGTCAGTGGTTGAAGGATCTGAAAGAATTCTCAACAATGAAGCAGGAAGCCAGAGTTGGAGTTCATCTACCCAATCTAAGGATCAGATTTCTTATCTTAAATATAAGAAGACTGAATCTGATGATCTCTAATCAGTTCAAAAATGCAAGGACTTTTGTGAAGGGAGATAGGTTTGGCTAGAAATCCAGGGTCAACCACAAAGGGGTAGGAAGTAGGGAAGCAAAATATCACCAGTGGTGGGCATGAAAGCACTAGAGGAGAGGAAAAAAAGAGAGACACTAAAGAAAATGTCTCCATTATTGTAATTATGCCAAAAGATTAACTCAACATGTTGAAAAGCAGTTCTACAGTGGAATCCTGCTCCAGGCTCAGGTATAAAAAGACCATCAACACAAACAGAGGGGGAAGAATCCTAGTTGAATTACTGCTTTCTTCAAATTTAGATTTTTTAAAAAGGGAAAGAAACTAGTTTTGCCTGAGGAAAGAAACAATGTCTTAAATTTAAAAGGATAGTCAGCAATGTTGATGGATTTCCTGGCAAATGAAAAATCCTGACTTATATGTTTTCTGTCAAGAGCACTAACAATGAAATGATTAGAGTAAAATTCACTCCTTCATTCAGGAGATATTTATAGGGTACCCAGTCTGTGCTCCTATTGGTTTTAAGAGGAGATACAAGAATGAAAAGACACATCTACTCTCACAACACAGTACAGAACATATGAGAAAAATATTAATAAATATGATGCAACCTGGGCTAAGCAAAAGTTACAGGTTCAGAAGAGGGGATAGACTTGTTTTTATTTTTGAAAAATCATAGTTTCTTCACATATTCATTCACACTAGCTCAAGTACAGAATTTCTACATATAACAAATTTCTACGTATAACTTTAGACACTTAATAAGGAACAGCAGCTCCTAAGCCATCTGCTTTGCTCCGAAAATGAAGATCCATCACATGCAAACTTTCATTTCACCACAATCCTGTGAGAATATTGTTGTCAGAGGGGGAAGGTAACATTTTATTTCATAACTGACATGGTAACAAATCTGCTGTCTGAAATGGCTAGTCAGTACCTCATTTGAGTAGGGAAAAAAAAGCAAACAAGCCATCATGTGAGCCCAAAAGTCACTCACTTTCAGCAAGTTCCTTTGATCCATTTAAGTGTCCTGTTACTAATCTTCTTCTAATGAAGAAACAAGTAAAACACGGAATTTAAAGTGAACAACAGAACCTTGTTATAATCAGACAGAGATACATTACAGAATAGCCTAAGGGATTTAAAAAATCATCTCCCAAACTCATGTCACATAAAACTAAAACTGCACACTATAGTAACATCAGGCTAAACTGTTGCATTCTTACCTGGTAAGGAACAATACTTCCATGAGCTGTGCCCCAACGTTGCCCTTCCTTTTGGCCAATGAGATAATTAGCAGCTACCTGGGTCAAACATGCCACCTACCAGAAAAACAGAAAAGAAAAGAAACCAGTTTATCTGTAGTCACGAATAAAATGCTATAGTAAGAAAGTAATTTCATTTCATGTCACTGTAGAATAAAACTATCCAGAAAGGTTAGAAAACAAATAGACACCTATACTTTCATCAGACTGATAAACAGCAGTATGACATTACTGCCTGAGATTAAGTAGTACTCAACTTATAAATATAAATACACACACATTCAGCTCCTGAAAAGACCATCTGAATGCAGAGGTTGGCCAAGTAGATGGAATCTTTGTCCAGCCTTGAACATTAAAGCCATAGCAAAATACTAGTACCTTCTTTTCCCCTATCCACCTGTGTCCTTTTACTTTTCATCACAGTGACACACAGAAAGCCTATGTAACCCCTGAACAGACAAGCCAAAGCCGGCAGCCACAGTTCTCTAAACTTCTCATCACATAAAAAAGTAATAATAGTAAGCTTTTAGTTTGTTTAAGTATTTTAGTCAGGTTTTCTTTTACTTATTGCCCAAACATCTTGATACAGAAAATCAGGATTATTTGACTTTCTTAAAATTCATTAAGTAGAAATTACTGTACCTCTCTCAACTTGGTCCTAGCCCCATACCCACATTATTATTCTCATTTCCATTTCTGAGCACTGTAGATCTGTTAATGGGTTCATCTAAAACCCAAATGTCAACTTCTCACTCTTGTAGCAGCTCATGAAGACATCTTGAAAGAGAACAATAGTTCACCTCTGTATGAGGGTAGCACACAGATAATAACCTGTTTCTAATGACCTGGCCCAAGAATCTTATACTCCAATGAATACCTGTGCCTCCAAGGCTCAGAACCATGAAAAGAAAGTAACCAAATGAGTTTCCATACATCGGGTATAGGGTGCTGGTCTAGGGCCATAATCATGATATAATATGGCTTGTTTTTTCTTCTCGATCCTCAGATGTGACTGGGAACCTACCAAGCCAGCAATTCAAATACATTCCAAATTGAGATTGGCTCCTGGAATAACATGAAGTTTGGGGTTTTTTTTTTTCCAGATCTTAATGGCCACAACCATTTTTTTTTCTTTTGCCCTCTACCTAGCATGACAGTTGTGCCTCCTACAAGAGATATTGATAGGACCCACCCTGGATGAGTCTCCTTGCTAAAACAGCCTTTCTCCTTTACTTTATTCTTGGGATTTAAACTCATTTTTATGCCCATGTGCTGCTCTGCTGAAATTGGAACTGCTTTGTGGCAGCTGGTTTGGCTGTACTGCCCAGGTGGCAAAACTAATAAACTTTGAGTCATCCACTTCTGGACTTCCATCTGGTCTTCAGCATTTGAACCATGGAGCACTGCAGGGCTGCCTGGGGCTGCCTAGTACTAATCACCATTTCACAGATCACTTCTGTGTCTTTCAAAATGGAAAATCAAATCAACATTTTGTAGCAAAAATGTCCTGGATGGGAAGTTCAGATTCATAGTTTCTAAATTCTGTCAACCTCTAAGTTGCTGAATGACTGTGGATATATAATTTAAATTATTTGACCTTCAAATATATTGTCTATGAGATGTTGGGTACTTGAGATGAACAGACAGCTTTCAAACTTTTTTAAGTATAAAAACTGTTACGTCAAATTGAAGAATATATGAAATCCTACTACATAAGTAGAAAACATCCCAAATGCTTGGATGAAGGAGGCCAGCAACATCACCACAGGCAGCATGAACACAGAACACAATTTGCAAAATGGTAAATGATCCTTAAACTTGCTTCCAAGGTCTACACTTCAGAATCCCTTTCCTCCTAACACTCTGGCAAATTAAAAGACAGAAGAGATGCAAAAGTAGTTATTTTCTCATGATGCCTCTTCTTGAACTTGGGGAAGTTTTCTCAAGTCTGAGATCTTTCCGACAAGACAGACACTTCTTTGATCTATGTTAATTTTTTTCCTTTTAAATAAATCCTGGTGAAAGACACTCTCTAAGGGTCTCTGATACTACTGAAGGCTAATAATTAAAATTAATAAAGGCAATTCTTTGTAAGAAGTTAATCAAGAAAGGTTTGTTATTGCCATTTCTCTGTCACTTAAAGTCAACTGATGCTCAATAGACCAAGATCAGCACAGGGCTGTATGACGCAGTGGATTGGCTGAATGGTTACAAGGTAATTTTTAAATCTTAAAATGATCAAAGACATTTACTAAGAATAAGCAAAATGCTGGATATCAGTCTGTCTGCTCCATTTCTTATCCATTATTTTATTCTTTCTTTTCAATTTTTGACTTCTACGTTTCTGGTTCTACCTTTTTTAGAGTAAATTTGAATGAAACACTAAAACCCATCTCTCAAACTGTTTAAAGACAGCCTGCCTGTGTCCTTCTTACAGTAGTAATTAATGGAAATAAAAAGCATTTTAGAATTAGCAGGTTCCCAGAAGGCAGAAAGGTTAAATAAGATTTTAAACCAGTTGCCATTAAAAAACAAAGTGGTTTGCTGGTTTGTACTCAAAGGCAAAGTTAGTGGGGGAAAGAGTTCTATTTTTAAAAAGAAAGCAACAGGGCTAAACTTAGCAACTCAATGTTTAAAGGGGATATTACAAATCTGAAAGTAATCTGTTTACAAGGATGTATTTTAAGTCAGGAGAAGGGGGGGAAGTCAACAGCTATGACGTGATTATGTATGAAAAATCAGAGGTTTCCTGGGTAATTAATGACAAATTTTCCACAAATTGAAAGAGTGCAGGATGTGACTTTTAGGTTAATAACTACATACTATATATCCATTCTAAATATTGCATTATATCATTACTTTCATCCCATAAACTTAGGCTCATTATTTCATCAAGTACAGGCTATATAATTTACTCAGAATGTTGCCTTTATATGGTTTCATTTAAACAAAAAAAGCCAACATTGGTTTAATAATAATCATCATGACAGCAAAACTATTATTTTAGATAACACAGTGGGTCTGATATTCTTTGTATCCAAATAGAAAACCAATGGGGTGGTCAAAGAGGATCTCAAAGGACATAGCTGCAGAAGGCTTCAGGAAGAATACATTAAATTATTTCAAAACACAGTCTCACGGCGTCTCTCACCACCTGACCACATGTTTCACTTCCTCCAAATGATCAAGCTGCAATAATAGGATCTTTCACCTCTAAAGGAAAGCAAATTTGACAGGTAAAACAGGAAAAACAAGACTACAACTAAGGCTCATTTCGTGGAAACAGTAATTTCTTTCCCTCCCACTACCTTGCTTGGCCTCCAACTAAGTTGAACTAGACCCAGACCATGCATCCGTGCAGCCTCCCATATCCTGACCTGTTCTTCAAAGCCCATTTCAACATCCTACCCATTAAGCCCTATTCCCATCACCCAAGGAAGAAAATTACTTACCTAACTCCTGCTGAACTTTCAATGTTTGCCTTGCCCTACTCTTAGAATTATAAGAAGTCAAAGTCAGAAGGACTTAGATGAGTTTTTCTGACACCTATCCATGCATCCCAATCACCTGGGTAATTCCTGGACCCTACCCTGGGCCACTGAATCCGATACTCCAGGAACGTGGAGGACGGGAAAAAAATAATTTAATCATTGTACCATTGGTGGACGGGCTGGATGCTCAGATTTGAGAACCAAAGCCTTCAGAGAGCCTAGTCAAAATCCTTGCTGTAGATGGAGAAGTAAAGGAACAGATAAGGTAAATGACTTGTCTGAAGTCACACAGCTGGCTATCTCCAACTTTACTGCTATCCTCCATGCTATTAATACTTGCATCTTTTCCTGTCTCTCCTTTTAAATTAGGGGATATGTTAGGGTACAAATTCTGTACTATAAGCCCTTCATATGTTCTCATGGCATCTAACACTGGGCCTGACCACTTTTTTAAATAAATGAATGAAAAGAAACACTGAGTGCTGCTATGTGTAAGGCACTGTGCTAGGGATGGTGCACAAATAAGTAAATGAAAACTCTACAGTCTCACTCCACCAGACTTAAGAAGCCTAGAGAAAATAATTAAGCAAGCAGTTATAGAAAACTGCCATGTCAAGAGGAAAAGGAATAGAAATTTTATACTTGATCTTAGCCAAAAGGCCGAGAAGTGATTTGAAATAGAAATTTTGAAACAAAAAGAATGACATGTGAAGTCTATGGCAAGAAAGAGATTGACATACAGAAAAAAAAAAAAACTGAAAGCAAGCCAAATACTGAATCATGGTGAGAGAGAGAGAGAATATAAGAATGAAATTAGAGATGTTGACAAGGACCAGATCTTGGTATTCTTTAGAGCATGGTAAGGAACTATTTTTTGCACATCTTTCAGAATAATTATTTTTAAATCATAAATATCATGTCATATTTCTATTAAAATCATATGGATCCCCATTGCATTGATAATTGTATTCAAATATTAAACTAAGAAGAGAAAGAGGATTGTTACAGATACTGCAAAAGTTAATTCATGTTGATGATCATTCAAAATAGGTTGGTGACAGAAAACACAGAAAATAATCAGTACGTTTGAGATATATTTTGTACAGATGAAATAGTTCAGTGATGAGTAGTTACCTAGCATGCATGAGGCCCTGTGTTCAATCCCCAATGCCACAAGAAAAAAAAAGATAAAATTTAAGAACAGAATATGTAAAAGAGCTTAAGGGAAGAAAATGGCAGATAGGATGATGAAAGGGAGGCAGAAGTCAAACATAACTCCCATATTTCTGGCTGAATATCTATGTACAGAAATAAAAGATTAACAGAAATAAAAGATTCAGAAATAGAAACAACTGAAGGGAAATGAAAATTCGTGCCCCTCTCTGAATGTGCTGTATTTCAGATGATTATGATACAATCAATTGGGCTGGGGTCATCAGCATAATACAAAAAGCATTTAAAGTCACAATTCAAGAGAAAACAGAAGGATAAAATAAGAAATCAGAAATATTATAAAGCCACCTGGATATAGTGGTACATGTCTGTAATCCCAGCACTTAAGGGGCT